GATTATGTCTACTTCGCACTCAAGCACGCTTCAGCATTAAGCACGCTTCAGCTTTCTCCCGACGACCGTGCTTAAAGCCGGCATGGACTGTATGTATGTGTGTGCGTGCGTGTGTGAGTATGTGTGTGGGTGTATTTCATGTGTGCGTATGTGTGTGTGTGTGTGTGTGTTTGTGCGTGAATTTCCTCAATTCCCCTCCCCAATTTTTTTCGGTGTGTCTGTCTATCTGTCTTTCTGCTCCCCCCTCTCTCTCTCTCTCTTCCCCACCCACACGTCAATTCCTATGAAGTGAGCTTGTCACTTCAAAATGTTATATTGTCTTTTATTTCTCCTCCAGTAGATCTTTTGCTACAAAAGTAAACGACTAACACCCGCCCCGCCCCGCCCCCTCCCCATACTCTGTTTACTGCTAAAAAAAAACCCAAATGGAGACAATATCTATTCCAATATTTCAGTATTTCTGCTGTATGTTGTGTCCCTCTCTGCATGGGTTGATCGTAAAGGGCAGAGTCGAAGCTCGTCTTCTAAAACATTCTAAATTGTGTCGATGGCGATGTTGAATTACCCGAAAACAAAATAAGAGAGAGAGGGAGAGAGAGAGAGAGAGAGAGAGAGAGAGGGGGGGGTGAGGGAGAGGGAGAAGAGAGGGAGCAATCCAGGGCTATCAAGCAAAGAAAGCAATAATAATGGATGAAATAAAATTTAAGTTTACTACCCTAAGGACCCATGCATGCAGAGTGATCTGAACTCTTTACGATAAAGTACCTGCACTTTCGAAATTATACGAACTATAACTATGATTATGTCTGACTTCAATTTTGACAAATGCTGATTTTTCACATGACGTAAATTTCTTTTAACTGATCATTTAGACCACTCAGCAAAAAAAAGGACATAATATAATTATTATTTTACCTTTTTGAATAGAACAAAATCATTTCTAATGTAGCGGTAGTTCTTACTTGAATGGCCTGATCTGAAGCACACAACGACAACTACAAGTACAGTCTGATGTGACTTCGCAGCGCTCTCTCTGGGGCCAAAATGATCAAACTATGACTAACACGGAGGGAATGCATTTGCATTATATTGAAGCTATGAATTTTTAAATGGTACTATTGACATTTCTAAGGCCATGCCAGAGTCAGATACAATGGGGGTATAGTCACAGGGGAAATCAATAATACAAGTAGGACACTCTCCACCTCTCATCCAGCTTTTACCACATCCTCCCCCAAACAAGCAAGATAAACAAAAGATTCAAAATACCTTTTAAAAGAACACCCTTTTTTTAATTAGTTCGACCAACAATTTTTCTTTTTCCACTGAGCAAAAGTACAACGGACTAAAAGAAAGCACAAAAAGCTTTTTCTTCGGAAATAATTTTAAAATTTTCAAATCGAGTAGGATACATTAGGTACATCACAATGAATGTTTCTACATTCAAATATAAGAACATGTGTGAAGGGGTAATGTAATGTGTGATATATAAGGTGAGATAGATGTTTATTAGAAGATCTCTCCTGAGCCACCCAACTAAAAATTACAGAAAAGATAAAAGAGATGATAAAAAAAACAAGAAAAAGTTTGAAGCTTAAACTATAAAAGCCTTTTTTCCACACAAAAAGACTGTGGGAGTGTACTACTTACAGCAAGGAGACTCTTTCGTGTCTCATCCATTGCTCGAGTCATTTCCATTTTGTTGCGCTGTGAAGGGTTTCATGGAGGGAGGGGAAATGATAAAAGGTCGTCATACCAAGGCCAGGTTATCTAACGGCGAGATGCCAGAGTCTACGACAGAGGTAAGGGTCAACTCCCTTCCTAACAGCTGACCTACATTTCTACGAAGAATGTCTGGGGTGAGACGTCAGTTTGCACATCATAGTGTCTTAATCACAAAACATAAAATAATAAAGAAAAGAGAAAAGAAGCGACAGCACCGATTTTTCATTGAGAATCCTCTGCTACTTCATACAAGGCAGATAATTCCTAGTCTTTTTGAAAGACTGTGCATGATTTGTAATGACTGTAAATGTTTAAGGCCTCTATCAACACAATTTAAGTCTATTTTATCTACCAAAGTGATCCAAAGTTGACATTGTGCGGCAGTTATTTACTCAGTGACTGGAGGAAACAAATAGCACTTGTCTCTGCTCAGCTTCTACTCCCCTTACTTCGCTGAGTTGTAGGAAATTCTTTTGAAGGACACATTAGGTGCACAAAACCAATATGTGCGTTTGCTTTTACAAACAAAAATTCCAGCAAGACTTTTATCACAAATGACAGTGCCATTTTACCCAATACAAATTTATTGGTTGTGAAATAGCATCATTAAACACCATGAACACCTTTGGATGATTTCATGCTGTTGAAAGAATTGGTACAGCCCACTATCATATAAAACTCCCTCCCCATATATTAAATTATGAGCAAGCAAGTCTATCTTGAGAGGTTCTTTGGGTAAATAAAATGAAAACGAGGAAGAAACAATTTAATGTTGGATTTTAGCATCCCTTACCTAGATATTTCTTTTGTTTTTTTAATCCACAGATAGTAAACGTGGAAAGATGGGGCAAAAGTGAAATACAAATTCTTTGAAGTGGATGAGGAAGGGAAAAAAATGAAAAAGTGGAAAATGTCAAGAGAAGTGACCAGCCAGAGACTGGACATTATTCGGGGAAAGAGCTAAAAAAAACCTACAGCCCAAATCTCAAACACCACAGCAAGAGAAGATTTCCACAAAGAACTTTAACCAGCATTTCTCACACAATTGTAAGATCTTCTAATCAAGATTTTTAAAGTGCTTAAAGTGCAAAAATTATTTTGGTATGGACTTTTGGAAAACAATATGGTCCAACTTTCATGACAGAAAATTTCATTTGCAACATTATGTAAATGAGATTGTAATGAAAGTGTTCTTATTTGATAAATATAAGGGGGCAGTTGAGTATGTTTCTTGTGTTTTCACTATAGGAAAAATGGGGAAAATATGAAAAGGACTTGGGTTGAATGATAGGGAGAAATAGACCCTCAAAAAAGTGACTCCAACATATAACAGTTAATGGAAAAGTATTTGCTCACTAACATCTACTAATTATATTCTGATTTTATGTCAAAAAAAGACTCATTCTTTGAAAGTCAAAATACACCAATGCTTGCATACTGTGTCCTTTAAAAGTTTAAGAGAGAAAGAAATACTGTGCTGTCTTGTAATGATGGTGTTCCATATTTGTGTTAATCACAAACGGTGCTGACTATACACAACTTAGTGCTGGCACTTTTGTGTGATGGTTCAGCTGTTATCAGTCACTGTCAGAGAGTGCACGCACGCAACCTTAAGTATTAAGTTCGACCTTTATTGACACAAGCTCTCGCATAAGTGTAATAATCATGATGCATTGCTTGGACATACATGGGCTGGAGTTTTACGCATTAAAAAAATTCATGCTGGTATAAATTTCCACTGAGAAAACATATAAATACCTCGACAAGACATAGAGGAGGGTACGGGGGTAAAAAAAATAGATGGAATGGGTAGCGTTTCAGCCGCATAACAGACATATCAACTGCTCAGTGAAAAACTCAGTCAGACGTCACTTTTCAAAATGGCATATGGCAGAGTTTTACACTTAGCAGTCAATCTGCAGCGCATGCAAGGTTGGGATACCGAAGTTATTATAATAAAATTCTTGCTGCATAAAGTATCTTGCTTAAATAACTGTCATATGGATAACAAATAATCTCTTTCTTTTTTTGGGTCATTGTCAGAAGTATTTGTATCAAATATATCTGAGACCTAATCTTACCATCATTGAGCACCAAAATTATCAGAATAAGTATATTACTGCTCTGATACCAATAACATTCCACTAAATCTATCCTTGAAATAGCCAAAAAATTTATTTTAAGCAATAAACTTAACAAGCAGACTTGAACAACGAGAAAACAGTTGAAATATCCTGACCCACAATAAGCTGACTGTGTAATAATATTACAGAAAAAAATCTTCAAAATGAAAATGAGTTAACCAAAAACAAGTGGGAGGAATTCAAACAAAACTATAAAACCAAATGCAAAAAAATGCCACATTGCAACCAGTGCAGAAAAAAAATTAGAAGCTGACTTACAGAAAACCAATTGTCCGGTCTATGGGAGGTCGGCGCCAGTGAGGAAAAGTTCCTGTGGGAAAGAAGAGGGGGAAAAAATTACTGACATTTTAAAAATGATTATGATATAAGTGATGATGCCCCGTTTCACTAATTCTATACGTGTGTACAAGTGTTTCATGAAGAGTAATTTTCCAGTTTTGCTGTTGGTTGTCTTGTCCATCAGGATCTTTCTCCTCTTCTCTGCCCCACTGTGATAGTCCATTAATCTGTCTTCCTTCACTCTTTCATTGTTCATAAACCAGAATCTTTGTCTGACAGAAAGTGTGTGACTTGCATAGAACCCAGCAGATAGAGAATCCCCAAGACACCGGACAATCAGGAAATTACTAGAAAGAAAAAAATACTGATTTAAAAAACCCAAAAACTTGTCAAACTGTTTTTTTTTCATTTCTAATTTTTTGACAGGGTCCATTCATGGCTCCCAGAATTTGCTGAAATATTGGTAGTACATCTCCTATGAGTTAACAATGATGGGTCATAGTGTTGTCAATTTAACAGAGACAAATACCAAATGAGTTTTAAAAGATAACAAAGCACAAGTCCTTACTTGAATCCAGCCTGCTGAGAGCGAGACATGAAGCGAGCCGAGAGACTCAACCTTGGACTGAAAGGGGTGGACTCTGAAGCAGCTTTCGGCGTTCCTTCCAGGATTTGCCGCTCCAAGTTTTCAATGTTTTTGGTAAACTTTTCAAGGGGGACTGGTGTGAAGCTGTCCTCTTCAAAGTTCTCTCTCACAAAATCCGCCTGTTGGGAAAAATTGCAAACATAAGAACTTTTGTTTACTGGAAATTTACTGGGCTGAAATCAAAACTTGACAGGACAAAGGCTGGCAATAGTGTCCATTAAAAAATTTAAAAAAAGAAAATACTATGCAATCTGGCTTCTTTCTAAAACAACAGTCTTTCTTTTACAACCTGGGGTTGTGGAGCATTGTCCATATTACACATTGTCAGTTATTCTACTGTCACAAACAGTAAATATACAGCATAAAGGCATGTTCTATCAACACCCTTTGTTTGACTTCAGTAAAGATAAGCAGACTGACATAACTATACTTTACTTTTCTCTACTTTTTGTATCACTAGAAATCCATTTTCTTACATAACAATGGGCATCAACCGCCATTAACAAAGGGGGAAAAAAGCAAGACAGGTAGAGAGAAAAAACAGAAAGCAAGAAAAGAAGAAAGATGGCCCTTAGCTCCCTTTAAGTTCCAACCACACTCCCTCCCAAATCTAATGCAAACATTATCTTTCAGCGAGTAATAGACAATAAATTCAGAAATCCCTTTTGAACACCGATAAATTCAGCAGTCATCGCAACAAAACACTACCATAGATACTTACCTTATCCTCTGGGGTGCGAGACAGGAAGTCCTTGTCGGGGTCAGAGGGTGTGGTGGGGTTCGACACAGCCAGGGTGTCATCATTAGGGTCCTCCTCATCCTCCAGGGAAATGGGGTCAGTGCTTTCAGAAGCTGAAAATAACCAAAAATGGCCCTAGAATCAGTCATCCATCATGACACAGCTTGCTGCCAATTTGACACAAGGAGGGTACATCCGTCATATATGGCTTCCAGTCTCCATTCTCCCCCTAAACCCAGCATAGTTACATGATTACCATAACATCAATGAGATTATATATAATACTAGAGCTCGTGGCAGTGCCTTCATACATATCAGACACCGGGCCCTTCTGACCGGCGCGCCCCCATTTACATGAACAATCCATCCTGTTCCCCGTGAGCTGTAGTGTATTAAATACCACCCAGACCCCATATGTCAGTGTAAGCTTGTAGATTTCCTCCTTAATCTGCCCAGGCGCCTTCACGTGGGTCTCGAAAAATACTCACCCCCCCTGTTGAACTGCGCAAGTCTCGCCTTGAGGTTCAGTGCCCCATGGTGGGCACACACAGCCTCCATTCGTTTACTTGGGTGACATCACTGCCACGATCTCTAGTACTAAATATAAACTCTTTACCATCACATACACAAGCAAATGATGGGAGGTTGTGAACACAGCAGACACTCACCATCATCCAAATTGGCAACATTCCCCACACTTGTCCGGGACTTCTGTTTCTTCACATCGTCGACAGCAAACACTTTGTAGGAACTGGGGGGGAAAAAACAATGACATCTTTTCACTTTCACTATATAGGCTTGACTGTCTCATCAAGGAAATCCAATAGCACATGATACCTTTGGCAATGCTCCAGATCGAAAAAATCTGAATAACCCTTTTCTACACAAATTAATAAAGCAGACCCTGGCATCTTCTCATCAACTGTTTTCAATTCATTTTGAAGGGTAATTTGACATATTTCATGGACATACTCTGCTTCTATTTTTGCTTCAGATGACATAAAAGGCAGCCACTCTTAAGTCATGTTCATCACTGAGAAGAAGTAAAAAAAAGTAATAAAAACCCTCAAAACAACATCTAAACAGATTTTATCCCTGATCGCCCACATATCAAACCTAGCCCTGACAGATGTCAAAATCTCCTCTTGGGCCTCGCTCACCTAGCAAACAGGTCCGAGTCGCCATCAGTAGGTGGGTAGATGACCTCAGTGGTGTCAGAGCCTGTGTCCAGTTCATCGGTGTCATCAAATTCGAGGCTGTTGCTTTTGAAGTCGACAAAACGATCCGCCCAGCGACTGCTTGGGCCACTTAAGTTCAAGGTCGTGTCCGAGCTGTACTGGCTGAAGGTTCCTCGGCTTCTGGGTGAAGCATCTCGGATAGTCTGTTAGAGGACGCAGATTCAGGATGGAATGAGTTGGAAAAGAGGGGGTGAGGGGGGGG